TTGAAACATTATCCCATGGTCAAAGAAGCCAAAGTCCTGCTGGTGACACCACCTGTGCAGCCATGTGTTGATCTACAGGATGCGCCCACCCCTCTTGACAAGAAGAATCAAGGACCACCTGAGCCCCCATCCCCTTCACTCTTGCACTAAGAGCCCTGTAGTTACTTTTGATCTGTCCAGGGTCTCCCCTGCTGGTATCATTGGTGCCCACATGAATAAGCAGCATGGGGTAATAGTCAGAGGGCCAGATGAGTCTTGGTAATCCCACCGTGATATCTTGGTTTTGGGCTTCAGGCAAGCAGCAGACCTCCTGAAATGACAGGTCAGGCTAACAGATGGATGCCTCTGTCACCTGCAGAAGGGAGTCTGCCAGTGGCATCTGTGGGTGGTTGCTGCCCCCGGTCGGTGCTCGCCACCCCACCACTGCCAACAGTGCTGACGGTGTCTGTGGGAGCTCCCTGCTTACCACTACCACCACCACCACCACCACCCATTGCTTCTTTTTGGTGGTGGTGGTCTCAGTTCTTCTTACCATGGGGAGGCCTGGTCTATTCTCCTCCATCAGTTGAACATACTTTTCCTCCTCTGTTGCTGGGTCTCCATATCTGTTCTCCAGGCAAACTGCTGCAGGTGGAAATGAAGTTTTCTGCTTGCTGCCAGAGAAAGGGCTGGCCCATCTTATCCCATAGAATCTGCAGCCGCAGGGGGCCCTGCAGCCAAGGGGCCATGCCCTGCTTGCCCCCTGCTGCTGCCTGCTCCATGTTTAAAGGGCTCGATGCAGGCAGGGAGCCCCTTCCTGGCTGAGGTGAGAAGGAGTTCCCTGCTCCACTCCTGCCCCAGCCCCAGCCCCAGCCGCAGGGAGGAACTTTTGTCCAAGACCCCTACCTGGTTCAAGTTAAATAAGAGTCCCGAGCATCCCAGCATTTTGCAGGCCTGTTTGCTTCAGAGAGCAGGGCTGGCCCCACCCCTCTGCTCCCCAGCTGGAGCAGTAAGGGCTGGCTGATTGTGGGGAGCAAGCCCGGCTGGGGATGCAGCTCAGTCTGCAGGGGTGTGGCGGGGGGGAACAGACTGCCCTCCCCCTTCCCCCGGAAAACCCCAGCTGAGGCCTGGGGCCAGGGAGGGGGAGTTAAACTCCCCTTCCCCTACTCAAAATTACTGTTGGCTGCAACTGTGGACTGCAAATCCCAGAGGTACCTGGAATCAGGAAGAGAAAGTGATAAGCAACCCTGCAGAGTCCTGCTGCTGTGATTTTGGACTACAAATCCCAGAGACCTTGGAGGCAGCAGGAAGAAGAAGTGAACACACAGTTCATGCTGGCTACGCCAGAGAGCCGTGCTCTACCACCCCTTGTCATTCTGGCTTGAGCCACTTCAGGCATGTGGCTGCATTGCCTGAATCAAAGGTAAATGTCTGTCCACTTCTGTTTCGGTTTAAACTGTGCAGTTTAAACTAACCTGCAGAGGCTGAATCAATTCAGCCTCTGGCTTTATGACTGTCTGTACTTAGCCTGAGAGGCTGCTTGCAGGTGGCAAAGTGGAGCTTATGAGAGACTTATCTGACTGGAAGAGGGCTCATGTTTGAGTGATATAAGCCCAGAGCTTGCACCACTCAGGTAGTCTTGACCTAGTAACTATGGAGTGTGGAGCTTCTGATAGCAGAGCAGTGGGACTCCTGCTGGCTCTAAATGAGAAACTCTGCAACACAGGGAACAAGGGAAGGTACCTGGGGCAGAGAAAGGCTTGGTTATATGGGCAGGTAGCCCTAGAGAAGGCTTGAGTGCTTGCCAGAGAGCAGGTGTTTATTATTAAGCTGTATGAGCCATTTAGCCTGGAGCCCTGCAAGCACTGGCAACATGTAGGGAGTGCACGTGGGTGCAAATGCACCCCCTGAGCATGGCGGTGCACCCCCAATGAAAAGGCACCGCTGACATTGTCAGCAGTCACTGCTCACCATCAACTTCCCACCACTGCTGACACTGCCAGTGGCATTTGCGGGCAGTCAGCAATCGGTGCTGGCTGCTGTCGACGCTGCCAATGGCGTCTGTGGGTGGTCGCTGCCCCCTGGTTGGCACTCGGCACCCTCCCTCCCTCCGCTGCTGACAGTGCTGGCAGCATCTGTGGGAGCTCCCCGCTTACCACTGCCGCACTCCCGCTGCCACCAGTGCAGCCGTGCCCCCACAGCCGCTGGGGGCATGTGTCATTCATGTCTGCAAGGCCAGGCAAAGCTTATTTAGAGGGCCAGGAGCCCAGCAGGGGCTGAGAGTGGGTTCCAGCTGGGGGTGCAAGAGTGAAGAGAGCAGGAACCCAGGGATCCACAAGCCCCAGTCCTGCAAAGGGCTGGGTGTGTGATCAGAGGGTCCCGGGACACAAGCAGGGCTGAGAGAGTGAGACCCAAGAAGGTCCAAAGACAGGGGGAGTACTTGAGTGTGGGCCCAGGGACAAGGCAAGGGCTGGATGAAGGTCCACAAGTCTGAGAGGGGCTGCACAGGGAACTGGGGGCCCGGGAGCCCAGAGAGAGAATGGCTGTGAAGGATACAGTGGTGAGGGGGGATCTGCAAGCCCAGAGAGAGGGGCTGTGAGCCAGACCAGGGGTCCAGGAGCCCTGATAGGGCCAAATGTGAATCTGTGTGGGACCATGGGGGTCTGAGGGCCAAAAGGAGTCAAGTGTGTGGACTTGACATCATAGTGGTCTTGCCCACAAGGCTTGGGGCATGGTGTAGGAGGGGAATGGAGCCATGCAGTTTTCCCTTAAGGCTATGGGTGCCTTACAGGGGCAGATTCAGGCCAAGAGGGGCCTATCAGGCCTGAGGGCTGGATTGAGACTAGTGGGGTCCAGGAGAGACTCAGTGGGGAATTGTTAAGATTAAGGCTCACTCTAAGTCCTATGGTTAGCCTTCCTTAATCAACCTTTAATAATAAGAACAAGGTATGGCAGGCGGGCAATTTGGGGAGAATTACAGAATCCAAGCTGGGCAGCAGCTGCAATGTTATCAGGGGATGTCCCGGCTGCCCTGTGGCCATGAGCCTTGTTATAATCCTCACAGTGCATGATGATGCTTCAGAGCCTTGCCACCTCCTCCTGTAGCTCTCTTGCCTGTTTCCTGAGGGACATTTCACCAGAAGGCACCACTCGTATTGCAGGCACTCCCCTACCTGGCTGTTGCTGAAAGGAGCCTTCAAGCTGCAGTTTCCGCAGTGCCAAACCAGGACCTGGGTGACAGCTTTGACAGTGAGTGGTTCTGCCATCTGGACAGACACCTCACAGGTGCAAACAGAGGCAGTAGCAGTGGCTCTGGCACTGCAAAATCCTCCAGCCATTTCTCTGGGTCTCTTAATCTGCCACTTCTCTTGCTGCCCTTGTTCCAAGCAGATCTTCCCTAGCAAACTCATCTGTAAGCTGGCCTGTTTACTGCTCCTTGGTTCCAAAAGGTTCCTTTTCTCCTGCTTCCTCTCACCAAACTTAAAGGCTCCCCTGCAAAGTGCAGGGGGGGCAGGGGAAGTGGCAAACTGATCTGCAAACTGCTGCCCCTGTTTGCTGCCCCTGTTCACTTGCTTCGGGGGAGACACTTAATTTCCCCCACTGACCATGTTATGGTTCCTAGATGCCTAAACCTGGTTATGTTGGATTGATTTTTTTGGACTGAGGTACCTAGGTTTTAGATGTTGGTATTGCCAAACTTAAGTAATCTCTAAGAGCAAATTAGATCTGATCCTCTAGTTATTTGAATCATTTCTCAGTCTGAAAAATTCAGTACAATATTTTAGCTAGTAAGTGTATATTACAAGAAGGAGGGCAGGGGCAAGGCGTAGGGGGTGCATGCGGATGCACGTGCGTGCACGTGCACCCCTTGAGCATGGCAGTGCACCCCGTGCAAAAAGGCATTACCAAAACTCTCGGCAGCACCTGTAGGCAGTCAGTGCTTGCCACCCCACCACCGACACCACTGGTGGTGTCTGTGGGTGGTCCACGATCCCTGCTGGCTGCCACTGATGCTGCTGGTGGCAGCTGCGGCTGGTCGCCAACCCTTGGTTGGCGCTCACCACCCCCCTTCCCCGCCGGCGCCAGCAGCATCTGCGGGAGCTCCCCCACTTACCACCGCCGTGCTCCTGCTGCCGCCGCCATGCTCCCACCGCCGTCGTGCACCCCCAGCCTCCAGGGGCACGTGCTGTTCATGGAGGAGGGTCTGATGGTTCTTGCCAGTGACCCAAGGTGTGAGAAATCTGAGTCTGATCCCTTGTGCTGCAGCAGCCTTCTGGTGTGATCTTGGGCCAGTCAGTATCTGTTTGATTTCCCTATCTGTACAAAAGGGAAAAGAATGAATAAAATTCCCCTTCACCCAAAGGGAAAATACATATATAATTTTGTAGCATTCGGTTTGGTAATGGGGCCATAGTTGTGTGATATCAGATGCACTACAGGACAATTGGGATTAAATTGACATCCAATGGACTGCTTACTACACTGTATATTACAACTAGGTCTGTGCTACAAAGTTCTGCCTACCTGGCTATATTAGCTGGGGTGGGGTGGAATCAGTCCTTCAGACTGACAACTATGTCAGTAAAACTCCTGGAGCAGACATATCTGTCAGCAAGAAAGTGGCTTTTACATCTTACTTTGCGTTTTTTAAGGAAGGTAGTATAACTCTGGTTAAAAAAGCTTCTTATGATGGCACATATCTTATGTCCATGAAGGGGCTTTGCCAAAATAATCTATACCAGCATCATAGCTGTAATGATTTTGTAGCAGAGGTAGTCCTTACATGCCATGGAGAGAGGTACTGTTTTTGATTTGTTCTAAATGTATTGGGTAAGTTAGTAAGGTGGCCCCTTGTTCTTTTCTTACAAGACTGCTTAATTTTCTCTGGTCTTTCCAGGATCTATGGCCTATTGCAAAGATCCTCTTATATCTTCTTTTAGACCAGTTCATTGCTGTGAAAGGATGTGATATTCTGGTTTGTGTTATGATGTTGAAATTTATTTTTTTCTGTGTCATTTCAGGTTTCAGTTACTGCCCGAGATGATGTCCCCTTCTTTGGGCCCCCTCTGCCAAACCCAGCCTTGTTTAAAAAGGTTTGTATTTTTCTTATGGGCCCTGTACAAGAGTGATACAGGGACCATGGTGAGATGCACAGCCTTTGTCCTCTAGTTCATCATTTCCAATCTGGCTATGTATAGCTACAGGATTAGGGAATGGTTATCCAAAGCCTCTCATTTTACTTTCCATGAACAACTTAGTCTTCTTCTTTTCCCACAGAGTGCAGAATTCCACGAATTCCTCTTGGCTAAACTCATCAATGCTGAGTACAGCTGCTACAGAGCTGAGAAGTTTGCCAAACTAGAGGTGGGATTATGTGCTTTTGTTTGAATTAGCATTTATTAAATGCAAACAAGAGAGTGCAATAGTGGCACGTTAAGGGCTTACAATCAAAGTAAAAAACCCCAAGAAAATTCGAGGCCCCTTTTACCTTTCCTTAAAACATTAGTCCTTGAAAATTAGGGTACAGGTTTTAAGTAATGATTTCTTGCACTGGAATGGAAGTATGGAGAAGTAACGACTGGGTTTTGGTGGGGGTTGTTTGTTTTGTTTTTTTCCTCTCTTCTCCTGGCCAACAAGCAACAGTCCACTATTCAGCCAGAGCTAGTTTACCCTCTCACAGCTGCTGCTAAATTGGCAGTAGCATTTGGTTGAGCAGCAGAAAACTGCTGCCAATTTGGCAGTGGCTATGAAAGGGTTACCTCTTGCTTTTGCCTGAGCAGGAAAAAGTGTGCAAGTGAGCTGAAGAGTGGGTTCTCCCCACCATTCTGCAGGTCAACTTTTGACCGTAACCAGATAAATCTTTTATTTTTCCTCACTCTGTCTTCCCAAAACACGGCATTTGTCTTACTTGGGGAGGGGGGCGGATGGCATGCAAAAAAAATACAGCGTGTGTGCCATATTAACTCAGTTACATGGTGCATTCTTTGTCTTACAGAATACATGGTATACTGTAAATACTACTCTATTAAAAATGCAGACTGAAACCCAGAAAAAGAATGGCAATATCATACATATATATGAAATGTCAGGATTCATGTTGCTGCTGGAACTTTAACATTTTGTGAGCTACAACATTGTGTAGTGAATAGAGCACTGCCTTAAGGTGCAGGAAGCTTGTGTTCTACTCTTCCACTAGCCTGCTGTGTGGCTATAAATAATCAAGTCACTACCCCTTTCTGTCTTCACTTTAAAAAGACCTAACCTACTTTGTAAAGTGTCTTGAGACTTACTAATGCACAAATGCATCAGAGGCAGATGTTATTACCAGGGATCCTGGTTTTCTCTGTTTAAAAATCCAAAATTCTCTAATAAAATCCCAAATTCTGATTGAAAAAAACCCCAGATCTGCATTTTCCTGTAATTTAGAATGAAACACCACTTATATATATAGGTATCAGTTTATAACAGAGCACTTGCAGGGGTGTAGTGGCAGCAGCACACAGCTCACAGCTGACTGTAATGCCAATCAGGCAGGGCTGCCTGATTGGGAACAGGGCCCAGCTGTTCTTTGTAAGAGTTGGGCCCTGAATAGCCTAGGCAGCAGTTTGCTGCTGTAGCCAAAGGAACAATACTTGGCTGAGCTGCTGCCTTTGGAATATCTTTGAGGGTAAGGGGTGGGGCTATGGGGAAGGAGGAGGCCCCAGGGTCCTGGGTATGACTGAAAAATGCACCCTGCTGGGGAAGGATGGCCTGGTGGAGCTACCTGTGGCAGGGTAGCTCCCCAGAAATGCCAGGCCAGTTGTCTTCCCAGTGAAAGGTGAATATAGGGTGCCTTCTAACCCCAGCCCCACATCCCTGGTGAGTGAGATCAAGCAGGAGAAGCCCAGACTCACTGAGAGTACTGAGGCAGGGCCCAGGTCAGTGAAGGGATCTGTGGCAGTGCCCAGATTCCTGGTGGAGATCTGAGGCTGCATATAGGAGCTAGAGTGAAGCTTCAGCAGGTAGGGCCCTGAGCCTTGGGGAGGTAGCAATGAAGTTCCCAGGGCTAGGGATAAGGGGATCACGCAGTGAGGGCAAGGGGACAGGGCTTGGAGGCCCAGAGTGTGCGGGGCTTGGAGGCTGTGTGTGTGCACACACGTGTGTGTGTGTGTGTTGGGACCATGAGCTCTGGTGGTGAATGTGTTCTGGTGAGACTCTGGAGCTTGGGTCCCAGTGTAAGCCACTGGAGAAACATCTGTGAGGCATGGGACATAATAAGGGAAGGTAGCAGTCATGTGTAAGATCCTTGTCATTGGGGCACGCAAACGGGATAGCCTCCCACCTGATTAACACCGGATACATATTAACAAGGTAAGGCAGGTGGTTTGCCCAAAAGCAAATGGGCGGGCCAATGAGTAAACTGCCCCCGGGACACCTACTTGTTATACAGTTGAACGTAATATTTTATTGATATATTTATGATTTTAAAGCCATTTGGAAGCCTACCAGTGCCTCAGTCATTATAATAGAATGAATTCTAAATACCTGTATATCTGGGCGTTTGATTTTGTTTTTTTATTATGGAAAAATCAGAGCTCCTTCTACCCGCTTCACTCACCAGGACACAGGTCCAGCTATGGATTTACCTGGATGGAGCTGCAGGAGCTACTCTCCACCACACTGCTTGGGTGCCATGTGCATGTGTGCACATGCATGTGCATATGCTCCCCCTGTGTCCTGCTCCCCCCCAGCCCTGAGCAGCCCCTTGCAGGTAGCAACTCTGTCAGCCTGCAAGGGGAAACCCACAGCTTCCCAAGTTTTTTTTTCTCCTTTAAAGGAGAAAATCTGCATTTTTCTGCATTTTTTTTCATGGCAAACAGAATACCCAGATCCCTGGTTATTACATGACATGTATTGACTTGGTACGGGACAGACAACCCATTCTTAATGTTTTATTTATCACCTATTTTAAATGTGATTTCCTCGGTTTTTCTTAAGGCCACTTGGAAAGTATAAATAGAAATGAGGAAGTTAATGCAAAAAAAAGTCTAAGACAGTACATCTACTGTCAGTTTTGGAGGAGAACAAGGAAGTTTATAGAAGGTTCTACATCTGAAAGGACAAAAAATACAGTTCTTCTAGCAGAGAAAGTGAAATGTATCCAATCATGTCTGCCACACTAGAGATTCCAGATCCTGTCTGTTCTACTTTCTTTCTTCCTTACCACTCTTCTGTCTCTGTTCCTGGTACAGGAGCGCACCCGCAGTGCCCTCTTGGAGAGTCTCTTTGAGGAGCTGCAGCTTCGCAGCCGCAACATGATGGGCCTGACCTCTGGGGAGGATGACAAGATGGAAAATGGAAGTGGTGGCTTCTTTGAGAACTTCAAGGTGAGAGATTGAAGATTGCTGCAGTCACTTGGGCACTCTTATGCAAGCTGCTGTTGCCCATCTCAAACTCCATTTTGAGGTCATTGTATCTCTTGAGCCGCTGTGCTTGGGGTGGGAGGGAGTGGGGAAATGTGGAGCCTGTAGTTCTCACCAGGTTTTAATAAATAATCAGGCATGAATAAGAGCTATACACCAACTTTTATTGTGAAACAGAAAGTAAGCTCCTGCAGACCTTTTGTCTGTCTCTAAGGGATGGTCTCCCAATTCCCAAATTTCTCAGTCATCTGAGTTAGGGAGTATCTCTAAATTATAACTTCCAACACTAAAGAGCCAGCCAGGACACCTTGAATTATGCTTTGTCATGCCTCTCAGAAAGAATGCATTTTCTCTATCTCTGTCCTCCCTTTCCAGGAGGTGCTGCTGGCACAGTCCAGCATGCCATGTTATTTCTAAAGTCAGACCTCCTGGGTAGGATGAAGTGAACCCTTTCACCTCCTCTCCCTATCTCTTTTTGGCATCTGACAGAGGGGAACTTGCTCCTCTGATACACAGACAAGAGAACAGGAGGGAAGCGGACCCTTTTGTTCTCCTTGGAGTATGTCCACACACACTTTTCAGTTGTGGGTATTCGTAGTCCCTGACTGGAAATGGTTTTTGCTTTAATAGTACAAATAAAGCATGCTGGAGCCCCACATCCCTGAGGGGATAAATGGTGGTGTGCACTTCGCACTTCCTCTCTTCTGCCCAGCTGGTATGGAGCACTTGGCTGGTCAATACCTACTTCTCATTTGAGGCTGACCTGCCCTTGTTTCCCCTAGTTTGCACTTTTCTTTTGTAATACTGTCTTTCTCCTCTTAATTTAAGGGTGTAGGATTCCTATATGTGAGATGGAGCCTTAATGCTCTTTGCCTCCCCCCTTCTCCTGCTTTGTTCCTAATGTTTCTTCCTCCACACAGTGTCTTCTTAGTCCCTTTACCTTTTGTAAGACAAGGCCATTTTTTTTTTTAAAGCTGTTTCCCATTTTGGCTTCTTTCTAGTCAGGAAGCACTTCTAATAACATAAATGAAGTCTCCTAGCTTTGCAAATGTTCCCTCTTGTACAGAACTTATTCACATTATCCATTCCTGGTGCCTTTATCTGGGACTCGCCTATGCCTAACATGAGTCCTTAGCTGCTGCCCATTGGACCACAAATTAGGAAGGAGAGGGAGATGTTTCTCCATGAGAAGTTACTCGGATCAAATCTGGATCTGACTCCAGCAGTACCTCCTGGCATCAACACTTGTCCATCACAACTTATCCACAGAAGCACGTATTGTCTCTGGTGCCACAGAAACTGATATAAGTGCACTGGTCTAGATCTCAGTCCCCAGGGTGGTCTCCAATCCAGGTCTCAAACAAGTCCATTTGCTTCTCTGGGAAGCTGGTCATTACTTGTAGTCCTCATGAGCTGTGAAAGACCATCCCAAAACTAGAGATCGAGGCACTGGAACATCAGGCTCTGCGTCATGAGATCAGTTGGCTCCATCGCCTCCTGAGATCCTAAAATTAAGAAGTGTTGGCATAGTAATAGGCATTTCTTCTCCATTTCAAAACATAATGGACTCAGTGGGTTTCTCCCATCCCATCTTATCTTGCCTTTCTGGCCTTGGGGCTTTCAATCCCCCACTGATTACAGGCATTAATTGACTTATTCACTTTGTGGAGTCAGTGTCCTCTTCCTGTACTGCTTCAGGTTGCATGCCTACTCATCATTTGGTTCAGCCTGTCTCTCTGACACCACTGGCAGGATGATAATGTTCAAGGAAGCTTTCTTTTGCTCTGAAACAATGGTTCTATACTCTTCCTCAGTCAAGGGTGCTGTATGATTTCTGGATCATTTGCCAAACACCTAGATCTTCCACTGGAGGAGTTTATTAAGCCACCTATTCATACATTGATGGACATCCTATAAAAGCCTGGATCATTGATTAATATTGCCATTGTTGATGTGAGAAAATCTCCTTGGTGCTGTCATGATCTCCCCGGCAGATCTCTTCCTTGGGACCCACAGCATCACCGCAGTTTTACTGAGTATCTCTGGAAGCTAGCCCAGGCATAGCTTCTAAAGTAGGTGAGTCTTTTATTCCTTGGACTGTGAGACCAGGTCTTCTGGGTCTTTCATCCCCTGGCTATCCATGGCCCCAGAGAATTACATTCTGGCTTAGCTTCTAGAGAGGGACTTTACCTTCTGAAGGGGATGGAGAGCACCCAAAGTCATATGCAGCGAAGCAGGCAGCTCTTCTTAAACAAAACGGCAGTTAGTAGTTACCTACAATACAGTAGTTGGAGTCCTTGGGCCACAATGTCTAGGCCAGATATCAGGAAGCTTTCAACACAGCCAATAGCCCAAGCTGTTTTTCTCTCAAGACCTTCAGGGACAGATGTAACGCTTTGAACATTCTAAATATACCCCAGGTCTAGAAGTACGTGCCACTTGAGACTGGCTTAAACTTCCTGGAACATTTCGTACGCATACCAAAAAAACCAAGTACTATTTTGAGCTGGTCCTCTGTGAACTGGTTTAATGATGTGTGGATACAGCATTCCATGCCTAGTGTCTGGTCATTCCTCCAGGGTTCCCAAACTGCACTGCTCTTGCAACACATGCAAGGCAAGGGGCTTCTCTGGAATGCAGCCAGGACTCTGTGGTCCAAACCCCTGCTCCCAGGTTCCCCTCCCCCCAGGCTAACAGACTGCATCATAGGAACAGAAGTGGTAACTGTTTTTAAGTCTTTAAATCGGATAAAAATCCTGCCTTTCCCGCTCTTGGCACCTGCTTCTTTGCTCTCCATCATCAGCAGCACATCCCTTCCACTGCTTGCTGCTGCTGCTATCCTTGTCTGATCCAGGGGGATGGGCAGCAGGTAGGCTCCTTCTCTCTGCCCAGTCCCTCCAGGTGGAAGCAAGGAGCAGCTCTGGAGCTACCCCACTCAATCAACTGGGGAGTACAAGGAGAGTAGAAGCAGCAGGCAAGGGAAGTGGGGAGTGGGAGGAGAGGTGCTACTGAGGACAGAGGAGAAGGGCAGGGAGAGATTCTTACCTGCTTTGGAAACTGCTGCTCCCATGGTGTGGTCCGAAAGAGGGATCCAACTATACCTTTGTACCCTCTTTGGATCTTCCCCTGATAAATGCAGGGGGTGCTGTGTGGGCCACTGACTGTGATGCCTAGGAGGCTGCATGCTTCAGGGCACCCCCAAGATCTCTGCAACTTTTCAATGTCTGCCTTGAAACCCCATGGAGATTAGCTACAGTTAAGCTTATGGCACTCAAACTAGCTCTAGCGAGCAAGAGGGTCCTGGGGATTATTAGGGAATAGAGGAGAATCTAGGACAATCTGGGGGAAGCAGTGAAAGACCTGGATGCATGCAGGCAGGGGTCAGAAACCAGGTGCATCTAGCAAGACAGGAGCAGGAACCTGTGAGGGAACCTGAAGGGTGACTGGTAGAGGCATCATGGTAGTGGGGTGGGGGTCTTGAGACATGGGAAGGGGAAAGGAAAAGACCAGGGTTCTGAAGCAGGGCAGAGCATGTTCCCACAAACCTGTGCCTCTATACGGGATGCTTCACAACCATGCCCCACACATGCCACCTGCTGGGCTTCTTGCCCATGAAGGAAACGGAGAGCAGATTTAGGTTGGGCATTAGAAAGTAAGTCTTCACAGTAAAGCTTGCCAAAATCTGGAGCAGTGCTGTCCACTACCTTGGTGGTCTTCAAGAGGAGACTGGGCAAGCACCTAGTTGGGGTCATTTGACCCCAGTGCTCTTTCCCGCCCAGGGCAGCGGGTTGGACTCTAACCTACTGAGGTCCCTTCTGACCCTAACATCTATGAAACTGAAGTATAAGACCACTGCCAGGGCTCTAGTGTACCTAGTCCACTTCCCAGCTCTCCCCAAGGCATCAACCTACTAACAATGCTGGGCTCTACCACGATGACTGTGGAGAGGTCTGGACATAGGGTTCTATATATCTAATGACCCCATCCTAGTCAAAGCTCCCCATTGTAACCTCCTTCACCATCTAAAATCCATCCACCTCTTTTGGATTGACTCCACCGATCATCTCTGCTCTGAACCTGCCTTTCAGTCTCCTCAGAAAGGAGTTTTGAATGAAGCCAGACTGCAGGCCCATTTAGATCCTGCTTGCCAATCTCAGACTGTCATCATCCAAAATATACACATCTGAAAACAGGCAGGGGGCGAGGAGGAGGGGGAAGAGCAGGCATGAGGAGGACAGTTTGGACATCAAGAGGTGGAGATGCCCACACGGCAGAAAAATAACAATTTGCTCTAGTTGTCTACACAGTCCTTCCTGGCCCGGGTTAACACGGATACTTACACAGGCAGTTTCTCTTTTCCTGTGAGCGTTTGAAAGGCTCTGTTCAGCTTCCTATGTGCAAATTATTGCTGTGTGTCCTGGGAAATGGTGGGGCAAGAGTGGGGCAGTTCAGTGGCTGGGGGCTGCAATGGGAAGCAGTGCCCCTCCATTACTATTGTGGGCATCCAGACATAACCAGGTCTGGACCTCTGAATTGCCTTGCAGATGCTGAGGGCTCTAGTTGCCTGCGAACATATCCTCAGGCTTACACTTGTACACCAACAAAAAGCAATAGATTAGCACCAAAATGATGGTTACTCAGATTGCATTTTTTGACCCTGACATTTCTAGGTATGCAGGCAAAATAATAGAATGCCAACCATAGTGAAGAGCCCCACCTTCACTCCTAGGTCTAATTCAAGGCAAGAAAAAACATTCTTTTCCTGGGTATAAGAAAGTCAGTAAAACAGAAGTATGTAGCATTGCTGTTAAAAAGCTCATTTTTAACCCAGAAATATTATTAAAAAGTACCATAGGCTTTCACAGGTATGCAGTTGTTTTCTGCCCCGCCAGCAGATGCATGTGTAGTCAGAAAGTATGTTGTCTCACCTAGAAATGCAGAGTGTTTATATGCACAGCTTGCTT